TTATTTTGGGATATTTTTATTTAGAGGAATTTTGTAAATAGAGTAGTGACATACTGTCACGAACTTTGATTTTTAAATGAAGAAACATCAACTTCTTAGAGAAATAGATGGAGATACTTTTTTATTTATTAGGTGTGGTCTTTCAAATGATACTGATATAATAATATCAAACATACGACCTGAATTGAAGACCAACCTTTCCTACTGTGAAATCGGTTAACACGTCTATAAACACAATTAGAAATACATTTAAGGAAGATATGTGCGAAGTCAGTCATTCAAAAGTCCGATTGATCGTGCCGCAGATTTTTTATAAAATTCATGTGTACAAAATCACATATTAATGCTTTTTGAAACATTTTCATGAAATATAAATAATGAAAATTAATATAAAAATATTTTAGACGGTAAATTACTTTGAAAATACCAAACGAAGATTAATATTTTAATTTCGTGAACTGAATTATTTTTTTAATGATTCATTGAAATGTTATTACTAGATTTTTATTTTTTATTTTTGTCATCATGTAAACCGAGCTATAATTGCCACCTGACAATCGCTGAGAGCGCCGCTAGTCCGACTATTATGAACACATTTGTCTAATACATGACACGGCACGTCTCAGGGCTGCAACGTGCCGACGACAGATATAATTTACCGCATTTCGTACTGGTGCAGATGAGCTAAGCCGTAGTATTTATTGAATATCGCCCAATTTGAATGCTGTCATTCCTCCGAAGTAATAAGATTGAATTCTCAATTGCATTGGAACAGTACCATTCAAACCTAAGCGCATAACTATTTTGCGGCAGAAAAAAGTCGGATGATACTAGCAGGTCCATGGAGCCAACTTGACGCGACCTCTTCCGAGCACAGTTGAGTACCCTCGCTCGATTCTGTTTACCACGCACCAGTTTCAGCCTTATACATTTGCCTACCTACCTACCAGCTGACCTGGAGTGGAGTCGGTGCATGTGTTTTTTTTATTAAACATAATGTGATAGCCTAAGAGGCTATTCCAACTTCAGGCGGACCGGTAAGTGAGCTCACAGGGCTCAAACCGAAAGTGTTGCTAACACTGGCCCTAGCAAGAGCAGTTCTTCGCAGAATCTACCACCGGATCGGAAACGCAACCTACTGAGAAGATCTGGCGAGAAACTCAGTGGGCTGTGTCTGTGGGTTAGTTCACTCGTCGAGCCCTTCGTCGCAAGCGACGGGTTCGACGAGGATGGTGACTGGTGCTTGTGGTACCTAAAAGCACCGTTAATGGATTGGGAGGATCCGTAATGACGTGTTTAGGGCGACGTCGACTGTTTACCATTCTATCTACAGGAACGGGTATGTGTGCATGTGTACTGCATGTTCAGCGAACCTACATTGAATATATGAATGAGCGGAAACAACAGTGAACACACACAGTGGTGACAGCATGCTAGTTAATCTTCTAGCAGCGGTATGATATTTAATAAAAAATAATTCCTTGATCGCCCCTTAGATTGTCCGGTATCTGGTAATTTGTCTGCTAAAAAAATGCCTGTCATCAATGAGCATCCGTTAGTGCATGAACATTGCGATAGAAAATGTACAATTGTAAACGAAAACTATTTGAAATTATTAATTAATAGTGAAATTCTTAGAGTAGTGAGGAGATAAGACACGTACGAAGTGTGTTTCATGTAGATGTCGTCATCACAGATAAACAGTAAACAGTATTTATAACAGTTCGCTCACGTATTGTTCTCTCGATGTCAGTTAACATGGCTGTCACAGCATATAAGTCCACCGAGTGGGCGGTGGTATTAACAATAACCACTTCGTACAAGATGAGCCCTACGTTCGTTGGCTCTTTGCAGATGAAAATAATTTGATTTTGCGTTACTGCTTCGCGGGTTTTGTTAGGCCGATTTGCTAATTTACTAACAGTGTTATTGTCATGGGAGGAGATCGCATTAAATTTAATAATTTATTAACTTATTATTTTCCTTGTAGTTTAGAGACAATTTATAAACAAGCCGTGACACACAAACGGAAATATACCTATGTATAATAATTTATTTGTCGTTAGGCAGACTTCCCTGTGATGTCACACAAACCGACAGCTCCAATATGTACATATGTATTTATCACCGGCATATAATGTAGACAAACAGAAGGTAACTGCGAGATAGCTATTAGAAGAAACTATTGCGACCTTCTGAGGATTCTTCTTAACAACGGTTGCTTTCATTTCTTTCACGTAATTTTAATTAAAATGTTTTTTTTTTATAATTGCGATTTATTACTAATTTATTGTTAATTTTTACGAGCCACGATTTCCAAAAGCCTGATACTATTACGGTCCGCATCAAACAATCCTTTCAACAGAGAAATAAATTATTGATTTGATTAAAAAAACACTGTTTATTTCGCCATTATTTTATATAATTAACAGAATAATTGATATTATGTTCCCACGAAAACAGTTCAGTATAACGGTATCAGCTTGTAAAAGGTTTATAAGATAAATAACAAGTCGTAAAAGTGATTTTAATCACAGACACTTAATTGTGCCATTGTTGATGAAAGATTCCTAAGTTTCGGTTTAATTTTCGTTTATTTTTATTTTTATTGCTTAGTTGGGTGGACGAGCTCACAGCCCACCTGGTGTTAAGTGGTTACTGAAACCCATAGACATCTACAACGTAAATGCGCCACACACCTTGAGATATAAGTTCTAAGGTCTCAGTATAGTTACAACGGCTACCCCACCCTTCAAACCGAAACACATTACTGCTTTACGGCAGAAATAGGCGGAGCGGTTGTACCTACCCGCGCGGACTCAGAAGAGGTCCTACCACCAGTAAAAGCTTTTTTTTCGCATTTTATATGATATTTAATGTAAAACTGCTAGAGTTGATAATTTCCGAATAGCAAAATAGACATTTTACTATAGCCGCTTCTTCAGGCTAAAAGGCAAAGTTTGCCAATATTGAGAAAACATAAGTGGGAAAATAATGTCGATTAGACAAGATTATCGAGGGGTGAAAGACCAATTTGGTTCCAATCTTTGTAATCAAAGGTGCGTTTTATTTGGTGTTGACATCAACAATTCGATGTTGTTAATTGAACTTCAATCAAGTTTACTCCATTGAAATAACTGAAGAAGTTTTTGTTCTGACATTTTTTCAAAATTTTAAATAGCTCTCCTGGAAACTTCCAGATATATCGCTTAATCCAATAGGCTTTCACCCCTCGATTTTAAAAATCTAAAATTTTTGGAACTAACAATCCATCTAACAGCTGAACAGAAACGAAGAGAACGATGAAAATAGCACAGCATACAAGACGTCCTAACACTGGTACTTATACAGCTTTTTTTTACCTACACGCGCGAGCTTCCAATATGTCCGATCACCAATAAATGTTCACGTCATTTCGGATCCTGCCGATTCACTAACAGTGCTTTTAGGTACCCCAAGCACCGATCATCGTTCTCGTTGAACCCGTCGTTTGCGACGAAGGGCTCGACGACTAAATTAATCTACAGACACAGCCCACTGAGTTTCTCGCCGGATCTTCTCAGTGGGTCGCGTTTCCGATCCGGTGGTAGATTCTGCAAACCTGACGAAGTTGCTAACACGTAACTTCGTCAGGTTTGAGCCCCGTGAGCTCACCTACTAGTTAAAGTTACGCTGAAATAGCCTCTCAAAGCTATCAATCAGCTTAGGAAAAAAAAAATTATTTTAGTCGCCTCACGACACCCACGGGGAGATATGGATTGATTTTATTCTGTGTGATTAGTGCGAGTTTTGTATGACTCAAATTTGTATGGAGTTGGAATAGCGCCCCTAGCGGCAAACGAAGGGAAGCTGTTCCAACTCCATACAAATTTGAGTTAACTTTTACGCGTCTAAAAGTTAAAAACTTGCGCTAAGCACACTAGTCCGACAACACGGAGTCGATTGACTTGAATTATATTTGATATTTTCATAAATAGGAAACTATTGGATGGCTTAATCAATTTAACTTTTATATAATGTACCTTAAATTTACCATTACTGGACTTAATAAATTTTTGATTAATTTAGAATATAATGTGATGATAACTTAAATTGAATAATAATTGTTTTCTATTGTCAAAGTAGTAATTAGGCAGAACAAGGCCATTACTGATATTCGTAAGCAAGCGCTTACCAAAACATTTGTCTCCAAAAATAATGAGTACAACTCGAAATCTTAAAATACAAAGGGTAAACTTAAACTTGTAAAATCTCATTTGACAATAATTTGAATACATAACAAATATTTTGGATTAGGCCAACAAACATTAAATCAGCAATTTGAATATGGTTTTAGAGATACGATGTTTTACACATCGCTTATTAACCAANAGCAAGCGCTTACCAAAACATTTGTCTCCAAAAATAATGAGTACAACTCGAAATCTTAAAATACAAAGGGTAAACTTAAACTTGTAAAATCTCATTTGACAATAATTTGAATACATAACAAATATTTTGGATTAGGCCAACAAACATTAAATCAGCAATTTGAATATGGTTTTAGAGATACGATGTTTTACACATCGCTTATTAACCAAAATTTTAAAATTAACATAAAAATATATTTCAAGAATTCACGGTCTGAGTCATTGCCACGCTCAACAAAGAGAATATACTGGCTATGTTATGTAAAACGAGAATCGCACAGGACAAACCCGAGCACCTCAAGAATTTGATAAACAGATGTTCAAATAAAGTCGATATCCGAAACTTGTGCCTACAATCGAAGATGCAACCATACAGAACGCATTCCGAGACGAATGTAGACAAACAGACTTGATAACAGCGCTAATACATTATTGTAACTAATCGACCAATCGTGTTCTCTGCTGTCTACAATAGAGCCTTTAATAATGTTAATATATTCATGGACACGATGAAGCACCCGAAAAGTCTCACGCGCAACAGCTGAGCGCACATACGAGCATCTTACTGCTGAGTATATATTATAATCTTACCTGTGGGATGTCCAGCCGCTATTGCACCCCGTCTCTTTGCATTTAAAACTCGCGACCGAATTTATCTCGTGTCCACAGTCTATATCACCTTCGTGTTATTTATTAAACAGTTAATGAAGCTCACGTGTGTTGTGTGAAGCGTTTTTGTTAATTTGCTTGTTATTGTTCGCGGCGTCGTTTCGTTCGTGTCTGATGCTCGGCTCTGCACTTTTCGGGGTCACTCGGGGTCGATATGTTAAGTTAATTCGCGTTCAAGCGAACGGTAGGCGTGCGACTGACTTGGCGTCCGAGCGATTACTGAGTGACCTGAGACTGCGAGTGAGTGCGAGTGGCGGCCGCGGGATGCGCCAGCGCCTCCTCCCTCGAACCTCCCGACTCGAGCCTTCACAGATAATACCTACCTACCTCACCGCTCCGAAAACAATTCTAATTAGTCGCTTTTAAAAACATTCGAATGTGATAAAAGCCCGTTCCGATAACAAATGTTTACCGTGACGAATTCCGGAGCGGTTAAAGTGTTTAAAAGGCGAAGTGGAAAGTTCACGATTAGAAATCTCAATGAACGGGTATTAGAGGCATTAGTGGGCATCTGTAAGACAATGGGGTATCAGTCCGGATCTCTGTTACACAATAATGCAGGCGACGATGAAACCGCGATAGTGAACAAGGGCAGCGAGACGGCCGGGCCCGTCCGCCGACCGGTTCCGACATTCAGACAGATTTATCGGTACAAGTAAAACTTGCGAAACCGAGCCTGAGATGCGCTCGTTACTCGCGAGGATAGCTTTGTATTCAGGGAGTTCAGGATAAATTAATATATCCTGAACTCCCGAATTAATATATCCAGACTGCAGACCGAGTGGGTTCGACTAATAATGTGTATTCCGAAGTGTCATCGCATCTTTTAATATTGTTACAATTAAATCTGGTCATTTGTGATCAAGAAAATTGTCAAAATATCCTAAATCCCCGAATTATATCCTAATATAAAAGGTATAATCACGAGATGACGAGATAAATATTATAGACTGGTATACCTAACTTATGCTTTTTAAAACGCATTTTGTAATTGAGCCCCACAGAAACAAACAGGGCTGGGGATAAGCTGTAACTATACTAAGGACATTAGAACTCATATCTCAAGGTGAGTGGCGGCATTTACGTTTTAGATGTCTATGGGCTCCGGTAACCACATAACACCAGGTGGGTTGTGAGCTCGTCCACCCATCTAAGCAATAAATGAACATTAAAAAAAAACTTTGAGCTGAACGGTAGACGGTATCTGTATGTGTGTTACTTAATTTAACATAATTAAAAAATATGTTAACTTTTTAACACCGCGTACCTTTTTATACATAACTAGCTGACCCGGCAGACTTCGTAGTGCCTTAATCAATAAATAAAAGACCTACTTGTATAAAATAAACTAAAAACAAACAAAAGGAATCCGTCCGACGGGGGACACATCAAAGGAAAAACAAAATTGTTATTTTTATTTAATTTCGAGCATTTTCATATTTATCTACCTTTTAAACCTTCTCTGGACTTCCACAAATAATTCAAGACCAAAATTAGCCAAATCGGTCCAGCCGTTCTCGAGTTTTAGCGAGACTAACGAACAGCAATTCATTTTTATTTTTATACATAATTTCGAGCGTTACGTCCGTAAATGAACACTATGTCTATGTGTATGCTCTTTAGTTAGCATTAACATGACTTTAAAAATTATTTTAAAATGTCGGAATCAAACAACTGGTCGCAGAAAGAAGCAATGAATGAGGTTCAATTAGATTGCGTTAACCGCTACCCTCGATAACTATTCCAAGACTCAGCGAGCTTACAATATCTGATTTCGATTAAAAACACGTTTCATTTCTTTCATACATATTTTTCTATATTTATGCTTCTAAGTGAAAGTACAATTAAACCGTGGAAGGGCTTCGAACTTAATTATTACTTTAACGCAAGACCTCAACAAAGAACACCCAACTTTACCTTCACTTATCCTCAGATATATTAACATATTTTATGCAGCATCCTCAGATACAATTGAAAAGACATTAAAAATCATCTCGTTTGAGATGACATCATTGGAAGGAAATCGCGTCATTGCATATTCATATACCAGTACTGCGTTTTAATATGTTTTTATTGAAAGAGTCATGTAAATACTATTTATGTGCATCGAATATGTCAAGGAACAATTTGGAAATAAAAAAAATTATGCCATGAGGTGCGATATCACGATTATCTTAAGTACACGGAGATAGCAGCTACAAACAAGCATAAGTACTGATGAAGGTACTGCTTTTTATGCTGTAAAAGTAATCGTGCTTTTAGGAAAAGTGGAAAGACCAGGCGCAGACATGAGCTAGAAATACTCTTGGCTTATTAGTAGAGAGCACTGGGATAGTGATGTAACTATGTTGATCCCGGGGATTATTTTTTTAAGAACAAAATGTTTAGAATATACGTACATAAACGTGTAATCAAAACGTAAACAAACTCCACCAGGCTATAAGTTTCTGCCGCGCAATTATGAAGACTGAACAGGTCGGAAATAACTTCTATACACTTAATTCTCAAGGTAAGCATTCACGCAGAAGCATCAATGAAATATAGCAAGCTACGACGAAGTCTAGATGTACCCACGCAGGCTCAGTGGGTGCATCGCTACAACCTAGACCAGAACCGGTCCGAGCCTCGTGACATTGACGGCCCACGCTGCGATGACGCTTCGGCAATTATTGGAGTTCTGATCGATATGCTAAAATATCCTTGCGTTTGAGCTCAAAATATTTGTAGGCGTTTTGTTTGCTTATTGTAACCAACAATCATACTAAGGTCATAATAATATAGACTATGATCACAGTGTTGTAGATAGATGTATATAANCCAGAACCGGTCCGAGCCTCGTGACATTGACGGCCCACGCTGCGATGACGCTTCGGCAATTATTGGAGTTCTGATCGATATGCTAAAATATCCTTGCGTTTGAGCTCAAAATATTTGTAGGCGTTTTGTTTGCTTATTGTAACCAACAATCATACTAAGGTCATAATAATATAGACTATGATCACAGTGTTGTAGATAGGTGTATATAACTGCTTTCCTTTTTGAAATAGATTAGAAACCACAACAGCTATTGGATGCCGCCGTCCACCTTGAGACATGAGGTGGAATGGCATTGTGTGCAGGATGTCCAATCCTTCAAATTGGAAAGTGTGACTGCTTCTCTGCAGAAATGGATGGGATGGTGGCACCTTCCACTGTGGGCTTGGGGCAACACGTCCTACCACTAGTTTTTATACCAAGGGCTACCTCGAGAAAAATATAACCAAGCAAACTTAATAGTATATAATTATGTATTTAAGTTATAATTAAAGAAGAAGGTTTTTGAATGCAGAAAAGCGTTCTGGCTCAAGACCCTTGGAGTGCTATTTGTTTTGAGTAGTTCAGTGTGCTCATTGCGAGTTTTTTAACGTTCTCGAAAGCGTAAAAGTTAATTCAAATTTGTATGGAGTTTGGAACGTTTAACTACGTTTACCGCTAGGGGCGCTGTTCCAACTCCATACAAGTTTGAGTTAACTTTTACGCTATCGACAACGCTAAAAAACTCGCTCTAAGGTCACAGATGAGCTTGACGATAACCGCCGTTAGAAAAAGGCACCCAAATCAAAGCACAATACAGCACAAATTCCTTTACTCACACATGTTATAAATGTTTCCAAATAATAACATGATTAATAAAGAAAACATAGTTTTGATTCACATTTATTTTGCTCGTTTCAAAACTTACCGATTACAGACAACCACAGGCGCAACTCACGGAGCGAATGATCTGAGAGCAGCAGTCGAAATAGTAAAATTATTGATACCATCGACTACCACACAACTTAAAACCTGGAATATAATTAATATCGAAAGCACTGCCGGTCACATCCAAGACGTGTCTCGTTGCGCTGGATCATGAGCACATCCATACTTAATCCTTTTTAAGTTGCATTAAAATGAAAACTGGTTATGACTCAGAAGCAATGAGGTAATCAATATTTAAAATTTGCCTTTAAAACAAAACCTTCGGTTCATTGCGACGCTGAAATCATTTAATGAAATACAACATATTTTGTAATATCGGTTTAATTTCTTGAAATTAGTTAAATTAATCTGAACTAGAGGTCCCGCAGTAGTCGAAATTCGACTATAATTAATTGGAATTGTAAGTTTGTACACTATTATGATTGTATTTTATACTTCTATAATCACAAATTTCGCCAAGGCTACACTATAAAAAAATATTAATAAAGACAAACAATATATTTTAATCTATTCTCAATTTGACCACAGACGTCAAGAACAAAAGTTTGACAATAAATAGTATGCATGCGTGTGTGCGTCAAATTTATGGTATGTAGTGTGTGTAATGTTTTCTTTATTGATTTAATGTATCTTTTATGCATTATTTTTAAAAAATATTAGCATTGTGCACTTCTTCTCTATATTCTCTATATGTGGAATATTTCATACTCCTCCGTCCGCGCAATTGTCGTAAAAAGGGATAGAAAGTTTTTGCTTCACGTATTAATACATAGATAAGTAACGAAGTGACAATCATTCAAATTTTTTTAATCTTCAGTTGAGGTAGGTAAGCCCCTGACTTTTCATTAGTGATGCTGCCAAGGTACGGGAGAACACCAAAAAAGAATAATTAAGCCGTAGTCAGTAGCCAGCCTTTGCCATTTGAGAAGTTCGAATAATATTTGGCCACGACCCAAATAAAAATGATATTATGACCACTCTGAAGTTGACCTAAATAACTAGATAAAGTCTCGGAATTACTGAGACAGCCTGCGGTTAAGGCCCAACGGAATTCGTGAGAAGCGTCGCTGACGTCATGTTCTGCATTCATGTCATTGTTGTGACTTTATTGTGACCGAGGTGGTTTGTCAACAATGCGTCTTCATTGTTCGTGAGTACAGTCAAATTAATTGACGCTGAGGTAAAGTTTCCGTGGTCCTAGACGCACGCTCGTGGGTCCTTACGTCGTGCATCAATTCTGATGTCCATACTTTCGCATTATTAACTTTATAATCAAGGCTTTTGCGGTTCGAATACAGGACTAAAGTGATTTTACAGAAAATGAGAGCGAGATATATTGTAACAGTGTTTTAAACCATCCGGTTCCAATATGTAAAGTCCAAAACATCCATAATGCTAACATCATTCGTTTCATTTTGAACGGCAGGACAGTGGTTATCAGCTCCAGCTTGGTGTCTGAAGATATCGTTGAATATTCGTACGGGTCAGTAACA